TTAAAAAAATATAAACTTAACTTGATTTAAATTCAACTAAGCTATGTGACTTATGAGTTAACTTAACTTGTTCAGAACTCTAGTTTAATCTCAGACTTATTATTCATTAATATTAGTTCTATTATTGATAAAATCTATCATAAAATTCTTGAAATTTATGTTATATCAACCCTTAAAAAATAATTATAAAAAGTCAAAAAAGGTTATTTTTAAGAAGATAATACATCAGTACATATAGCAAAAATTGCACAAAAATTTTTTCTTTAAGTAAAGTAGAATATTTGCATAATTACCTCAGAGTCTTAACTTTAATTTTATTGAGGAACTTTGATCAATTATTGAGTTTGAATTTTGAAAATATAAATTCAAACTATTTAATATTCAAGAGTTAGAAAAAATGATTATTGAAAAATAGAAGTTGATTCTCAAAAAAATATATTAAAACTTTATTAATTTAATACTTTCTCAAATTTATGTAATTATTTTTGCTAAAGAAGATCATACTAAATATTAAATATATTAGACAAATTTATTGTAATTAATAAATATAAATAAATATTAAATAAAAATTATTCAATATTTATTTCATTTTTGTGTATTTTTAAAAAAATTTAATACCTTCTAAAACTAATGATCTTAAAATTAAGTTAAAAAAAATACATAACTTTAGCAAGTTTCTGACTAAATTGTCTAATTAATTTCTAATTACAGTAATTTTCTAATATAAGAGCATTATATCATTAGGTTTTATCAAAAATTCTTTAAATCTTTCAAATTTTCATGCTAAGAAATCTATTAATTTAGTATAGCTATCAGTAGGTTTTATGCTATTATAAGATTTATATTACAATATATTATACTAAACTCCATAGTTATATTAAAATAACAGATTTTATTCTTATAAGAAATTTGTATACAGAATTGTATACAAAAATAATACATTTTTGATATTTGTAAATAATGTATAATATATAAATAATTACAGTCAATTCTTAATATAGCGAACTCTTGATATAACAAATTTTTTGAACAAATATAATAAAAATACTCTTGTTATAGCAAATTGGTCAATCAAATCTCTTAAAATCTTTATTATAACCTTATAATGAAGTTGAGGTCTAGGATATAGAGTTTGTTATAACAAGAGTTGACTGTATATATCTGATTTGAATAATTTTAGAAAAAGCTTAATCAGATACTTTTCTGAAGGTAGTGTATATTAATAAAATTATTTCAAGATATAAATTACAATCATACTTTGATATAATAAGTTTCTAAACTATTTGCCTTTATTAAAATCAACAAAAACTATATAAATACTAACAATCAATACAATTAAACAACCAAATACAGCAAAAAAGCTAAAGAAATACAATAATATTACAATATCAAATACTTTCTTATATCAAAAAAGTTAATACTAGATGATAAAACTTTAAGTTATTACTTTAAAGAAATAATTTAATAATACTAAAAATTAACTTTAATGAAAATTATCTAAAAATTGAATTTATTAGAAAATTAATACAAAATTTTTAAAAATATATTTTTTTTAATTTATTAACAGATTTTAAATTTCATGATATATGTAATTAATATTTTTAAAACCACTTGAGAGTTAAATTACAATTTGAATAAAAAACTATATAAGATAATATATAAAAATTAAAATAAGAATATGTTGTAGTATAGCTTTCTAGATATTGATCAGAAACGAATTTCAAAACCTTAAATTACAAGGATGGTTTTGAATGAATATGGATTATATTCCATAATAAATTGCTATGCTATAAACCATCTAAATTTGTAAATAAAAATAATATATAATACATAATAATTGTAAGGAATAAAATATTTATAAAAACATGATAAGAAAATGTAAATATAATTGTTAAGAATATGTTGTGGTATAGCTTTCTAGCTATTGACCGGGAACAAATTTCAAAACCTTAAAGTACAAGGATGGTTTTGAAAGAATATGGATTATATTCCATAATAATTTATATTGCAACATTTTAAAAAAATATACCCTTTTTGATCATCTAACTCTTTTCATAGCAGATGTTTAAGTCGTTTTCTGTAAGGGTATAATATTATCAAGGACGTATGAGGGTAGTGAAGGGTAAGGTAGATGAGAAAATATAGCCCAAAGAAAATTTTGCTTACACAACCCCACACTTCTGCACCCAAATATAGCGACTTTAGTGAGATGAACGCGTACTAAATAAAAAAATAAATGTCAAACATACAAGTTGACTGTGAGAAAAAAAGAAGTAATTGGCAATGAAGACGAAAAAAATAAGTTGACTGAATTTATTATGGCTTACCAGTAAATGAAACTCCGACTACGACTTGAGTATTATTTGTTTTGACTCCACGAAAAGTATTATTGACCAAACGTGTTTATTTCTTTCGTCAGAAGGTCGTTCCTCAAAATTACTCAAATCGAAGTTATTTTCTTTAGATTTTATATTGCTAGGAATATTTTAAGTTGGCTTCCTTTGAATTGAAAATATTTTATTCCTTTCAATGATAATATAAAAGGCAGAACTGCTTTCACGAACAAGAAAAATTAAAAATTCGTGCGACTTTATTTGATCTGAGAATCACGTGATATCATCATGAACAAAAAAATTTTTTTTTTTCGAATTGATTTTTTTATTCAAGTTATTCAAGTACAACAATGTCTCGACCAGAACATAAAGCCCCACCGGAAATTGTAATTTTTTTTTTTTTTTTTAATTATTTTTTTACATAAAATTAAAATTTATTAATTCGTTTTTAGTTTTATAATGATGATGAAGCGAGGAAATATACATCAAAGTGAGAAACTCAAAATATAAAATCAAATTAGAAATTATTTCGTTAATTAATTCATACTGTTCAATTAATTAATTTGATCTTTAATTCTTTTTTATAAATTCATTAGTTCAAGAATACAAAGTGTTCAAGCAGAAATGGTAAATCAATTTATAACTCGATTAAATATCTTAGGTCTTTAATTTTAATTACTTACTTTTTTATTATCTAGTCATTACGAGCCCTTGAACTTTTGAATTTGCCAGAAAATGAAACGTGTTTCTTACTCGATATAGGTTGCGGATCGGGACTAAGCGGAGAAATCTTGGATGAAGAAGGTCATATATGGGTGGGATTGGATATCTCTCCATCTATGTTACGTTAAGTATTGTATCATATTCGCGATATTTTTTATATATGTCCTGATGTTAACGCGTGTTTTTTACTTAGAGGTCGCATTGGATCGAGAAGTTGAAGGCGATTTGTTTTTACAAGACGCTGGTCAAGGGATAGGTTTTCGACCGGGTACATTTGACGGCGCGATAAGGTAAATGAATACCATTATTATTAGTTCATTTATTAATATTAACTTCTTTTTTTTTTATTTTGTTTTGATAAAAAAAAAAAGTATTTCCGCTTTACAATGGCTTTGTAACGCTGATCAGCAATCTCATAATCCAAAAGCTCGATTAAATCGGTTTTTCTCAACATTATATGCATCACTACGACGCGGAGCTCGTGCAGTATTTCAATTCTATCCTGAGAACGATGATCAATGTGAATTAATTATGAGTGTAGCAATGAGATGTGGGTTTGAAGGAGGTCTAGTAGTAGATTACCCTAATAGTAAAAAGGCTAAAAAATATTATCTGTGCTTATTTGCTGGGCAAATGCCTGGTAAACAAAAACAACAAATACCACAGGCTTTAGGTGAAGAAGAGAGTGAACCAACCGGTGTAGTTTATTCAAATCAAAGGTTTGTTACTATGTTAAAAATTGTTTAAAATAATTTTTTTTAAAAAAAAATAAAAAAAAAACCAATATAATTTATTTATTTATTTTTTTAGAATAAATGAACGACAAAAGGTAAAAGGAAAGCAACGTAAATCAGTTAAAGATAAGGATTGGGTATTGCGTAAAAAAGACGTTGCCCGTATGCGTGGGAATAAAGAAGTGCCATTGGACTCTAAATACACAGGAAGGAAGAGAAAACCCAAGTTCTAGAATAGTTATTATTTCTTGGAAACTCCAGATATTATTAATATTTAAAAATTTTTGAGGTAGATTTGTATCGTTCACATAAATCTTTAGACCTATTCGCTTGTTTAAATATTTATTCAATCATTACTCATTATTCCCTTCCGAATCTGAATTCGAGGATGCATTCTTTAATTCTGTACTTATGTCTTTATTAGTCCGGAGCGTAGCGAAGGACTATATAATTCTATGCTGTTTGATTCAAGATGTCCGCTTCCCCCCCCCCCCGCTCAATAATTGAGTTGATGCTGATATGCGTAAAGCAAATACCAGTGTGAAATTTTTTGGTTAAGATCGTTCCGGACTTAACAACGGTCCCCGTTCCCTAGTCTAATTAGTCCGTAAAATGTCCCGATTGAGTCGTTTCGTGATAGGTCCCTTAACAATGGTTTCCTAGCCGGACTTAACAAGTTATCAACCATACCAGAAAAAATACTATCCGAATCTTTAAAGGTTTTTTTTGATTACAAAAAAATTGCCAAATTTATAGTGCGGTTGAGGATTTTAGTTCCTCTATTGAAAAGGATTTAGGTTGAAAGTAATGAGAAATGAGACGCAATTTTGATCGGCACATGAATCGATATTAACTTTCTGCATATTCTTTATTGGTATATTTAATTTGATATAAAGACTATTTCTTTTATATTTATTATTCGTTATAGGACAAGCCTCATATTTATTCCATTAAATTATTAGAAGATTGTAATTATTGTTTAGGTTCCGAATTAAATAAATCAAATTTTTTTTTTTAATTTGAGAATTTGAAAATTTTTGATTGGTCACCAAAAAGATTTAACAATTCAATTCAGTTAAAAACAAGTTTCAATATTATACGCCCATCAAAATTTACAAATAACTAACAATCTTTTTCCGTCTTGAATTATTGATCAAAAACATTTTCTAATCTTTCTCAACTAGGAGCTTCCACCACACATACCATAACATCATTGCCAATTTAGTTTTGTCGACCGATTCTCTACTATTTTCGTAACTAATGATAGGGTCTTAGTTTCATCACAACACAACTATTACCAAATAAGTATATCATTCGATAAATCGCTCCGGACTTGACAACGGTCCCCGTTTCCTAGTTATTATTATCATTGGTATCGGTTTGTTTGTCTTTATCCTCTTGTTTTGTCTTTGCCTTTTTAATATTTTGTTTTTTCATTTGTTTCTTCTTTTGTCGTTTTGCTCTCTTTTTTGCCGTTTTTTCCTCCTCGTGTGCTTTAACTACCTCCATCTTTGCTTCGAATTCACGTTTTTCTTCTTCCTAAAGATCAAAGATCTTTGGTTAAATCAAATCTAAATGAAATCGAAACGAGTTTGTCAGAGGATGCTAAGATATTGAACCTTTTTTGTTTCCTCCTCCATGATCTTCAATCTGGTATATTCTCTACGACGATGAGCTCTGTAAACGTGAAATTCCCCACTACCCGCACCGGCACTAGATCCTTATAAATTCAAATAAAATATAATTCAATAAAAAAAAAACAAAAAAAAAAAATTCATATTTAAAACATTCGCTCATACCTTGAACATTCCTTACGATATCCTTTGGAGGTTTTAATTTTGGTTTATCTACCATTTCAGGAATATTAACTGGCTTATCTGCTTTTCTTAATAATTTTTCTAATTGTAGGCGTTGAATTTCTACAGGAGTTAGATTATACCTGTGTGTCTTATTTTTAATCCCCTCTTCGCTTTCACTATCGCTAGAAGCATGATCGGTTTTCTGAGCTGGTTCTTTGGTTGACATTTTTTGGTAAGATTCCAGATCTTTTAGCAATAAAAAGTTACGGGCGACAAGAAGTTCCTAAAGTTTGAATCACGAGATATGCGATAGCCATTTGTCACACAAAATTACAGTTATATATATATTCGGGAGAAATCCAACATGTTAATCTCATTTAAAAGATGAACTAACTGCATTTATTTAGCCTAATACGAAATTTAGTCAATGTTTCCTTACGGAAATTAAAGAAATAAGGGATTCACTTCCGACACATAAGATAGAAAAACAAAATAATTTGACAATGCATATCAATAAAAAAAAATTTCACATGTTCTGGATATTTCAATCAAAAGAAATGATTAATTCATTGTTCTTAAACATTATCAATATTAAATAGTCAAATAAGGAACAAATAATAATTGACAATAAAATTAATTTTCCAATGTAACCAGACAAAAAAAAAAAATAAAAAAAAAAAATTAATTATTTTGTAATATCCTAATCTATTATTATAAATAATTAAATGTATGCTATATGTAAGAAAAGAAAGGAAAAAAAAAATTGGAACAAATAATTTTGAAATGGATTACGCGAATGATCCTAACAACCCATAATTTTAGCTAATTCTTCTAAATCATTAATTATCAAATCAAATTCATGATTGGCTTGACCACCAAATTCATTAGTATATTCCAATTCATCTTGATCATTTATTTCACCATTTTCCGTCGTAACATCATCTTCGTATTCTTCACGTTGTACAAAAATGGTTTTCAAGCCTAATTTTCTGACTTTTTTTAGATCGTTTTTATTAGAAGAAACCACGGCGACTTGTTCAGGATCTAAATCTAACATCTGACAACTACCAAAATACAATTTAGGGTTAGGTATGTAACATCTCCAAGATTCCGCAGAAAACATATAATCGAAGGATAAATTTGCATTCCGTTTTAAATCGACTAATAATCTAACGTTGGCATTACTTAAGGCAGCATTAATATATCTTTTACCAAGTCTCGTTATACCGGGTATGGTATCGTTATAAGGATCTAATTTATGCCAAATATTAACTAAATTTTCTATTTCATCATCCGACCATAAATGAACTATATCAAATTCCGCAATTAATTGTTCTATAAGTTTTCGATTTAATGAATCAACCGACAAAAACGGTGTCTTTCCTGAATTCGTGGAATTAATGTACGCTTTATATCCATTTCTCCATTTTTGTGCGAATGAATGCCAATTTTTATTTAACAAAGTTTGAGTTGAACATCGAGTTGATGTCAAGGTTGCGAATGACGATAATTCTTGAGTTAATGTTGTTCTCCAACTTACTGTCGTTTCAAATATATCAAAAAGAAATGCTTTGACATCTATCATAGAATCTGGGATATCTTCTACCATCTTTGTAAAGATAAAAGTGTATATTTCTTTTTTATTTTGAGAGGAGTTTTGTTATGAGATTTTACAGTCGATATATTAGAAGTTTTCAAAAAAAATAAAAAAAAAGGAAAAAGATTTTTTTTTTTATTATAAAGAAAAAAAATAAATTAACACCTTATATATATATATATGTAATGAGTCCACGAGGAAAATGTGACTAATAAATTTCGATCAACTACATATTTAATCTTTTTTTGTGTGCAATAGAAAAAAGTTTTACTTTAATTTCATTACGTAAGGGAAGTTCCGTTAATGTTAATGTAAGGGCATCTAATGTTTAGACTATTGTATAATAGATGTTACTCTACTGTAAACTCAACAAAAAAAAATAAAAATGGATAATAAAAGAATAAAATAAAATTATTTTTTTTATTTTTTTTTTTTAAAAAAAATTGATCATTACTAAATCAAACAATGCATATAAACTGATTGGTGAATTTTCAAAACACGGAGTTAAAGAACTGTTTATGTAAATGAAAATTTTTCACTTCTTAATAAATTTCGTTTTATTGACATTTTGCATTCTAATATGGTTAGGTATGTTATGAAAATAAAGGATATCAAACGATCCTGCTTGCGTCAAGAATTTCCTATAATATAAACAAACAAAATTCCATTTCTTCCCGATACCAATCATTTTTCACCAAGTTTATTTTTCCCAATACCAAAGATTACTACTTTTTATTTCGGACGAAAAAAATTTTTTTTTTTGGTTTTGTTTCTAAATTTAACCCCTGCACATGAAAATCCGTTTATAATAATAAAATTTTTTTTTTTTTTTTTTTGTAATTAAAATGCGTCTTGGTATTTTTTTTTCTTTTAGGAAACTTTCTTCCTTTTTCTTTTCTTTTTTTTTTTTTTAAAAAAAAAAGATTCAGATCTCAACCGCTAAATGCCGTTTTTTCTTAGAAAACACAGTTTGTCAATATTATTGTCATATGTGATACAACATTACAAACTCAAATTTTTCAATGGTAATTTTACCATGAAATTTTTTAACTTTTTATCCCATTGTATGATATTTGATCAGATGGGATCAGTTGAATGTAAAATTGCCAAGAAATAAATTATAATTCGATGTTTCCCAATATTCGCTTTACTGATTATATCAAATTGTTTTAAAGTTTATTCCGGACTCTACCTCCCGACTCTAAAAGAAGGCTGGTTTTGATTACGATATACATCATTGAAATACTAAATAAAGAACTAGTATGATATACGAACCTCCTAAGATTCGGGATGCCAAATTTAATTCTCATATTACTTTTTGCTAGCAAAAAAAAATTTCACTTTAAAAATTATGCAACCTTTATATAATATTGAAATCACCTTTATTATTATATTATCGTTTCAAATTATCCACCAATCAAAATTTTTTTCTGAATTTTTCAAAAAAAAAAAAAAAAAGGAATTAACTTCCGTATCAATGAAAATAAAGGTAGGATTGTATTACAGAAGCTTCTTTAAAGAATAAATCTGTTCAGAAATAGATCATCAAATAAATTACATCAAAGCATGTGAAAATTGCATCCAACAAGATTTTGTAAATTTAAAAAAAAATATCTACCAAGTTAATAAAACTTTTAATTCATATAAACTTAATTTAAAAGCATTTTATTATTTATATAATAATTGCTAAAAAAAAATAAATATATCTATTATCAAAGTAATTGATGTAATCTGAAATCAGATTAAATAAAATTGATATGAGTTTAAGATTACTTATTTAAACATTAAATTTTATATTTCTAAAAGTTTGTTTAAAAAATTTTACATTTTATAAATTTTAATATAGATTTTTCTTTTTATTAAGTTTCATAGATTTTATTATTAGATAATTATCTCCTCTTAGATTGATCTATAATTATTATGTTCTCCTACTTTAAAATTTGAAATTTACTATTAAAATAAGTAATTTTTTAAATTAATTTAGCTTTTTTTTTTTCTTAATCAATTATTATTAACTCTTATATTTTTATTAAAGGTTGAAAAATAAGTATAAAATTTAATAAAATATCATTATTATTAAAATCTTCTAAAATCTTATTATCAAAATTTATATATAAACTTGATATTTTAGTAGAAAAAAAAAGTTTATTAGAATATAATTATTGTTATATTTTAAACTTTTAATTTTATAGAATTGGTAAAATTTATAAGTCTTAAAGTATTTTTATATTCATTTACTAAAAATTAATAAACTTTTTGAAAAGATAAAGTTAAATTAGAAATAGTATATTAGCTAATTTACTCAAATTTTGATTATGCATAAAAGGATTATTTAAGAAAAATTCTTTTATTAGAAAGTTTTTCAAAAGTAAACAAAAATTTTCAGTTATTTTAGTTAGATTTGCTTACAATTTATCATTAAGAATTTCAGTTATCTGTAATGTATCTTAAATATTTAGTAACTTTTTATCTTAATTATTTTAATTGATTAATATATTATTACCGTATATTGTAAGCTATAATACCCTGGGTCTTTTACAAATTTTAGAAGTTTTTTGCCATATCCAGAGATATATTACACTAGTGAATACTATATATAGGAGGGGTACAGAAATTGTAAAATACTTCAGATACTTACCATATATAATACCCTTTACTACTAACATGATCTGTTAATTATCTGTAATACATCTTACACCTAACTGACAATTCTGAATATAGTATTAAAAAATCTACATTTTTTTCATAATATACTTCATTTTATTCTTATTGATAGCTTGAAGCTGTTCACCTTATTGGGAAAAAATGAATATACTTTTCTTATTTTTTAAGTTTCGCTATTTTACATATCTTTTTACGCGTTTATTTTACAAAATTTGTTTTATCTTTTATTTGTAATGCAAAATATAAAATGATATAATATAAATCATCTATAAATAGAAATAAAATCATCAAATTCCAAAATCCTAAAACTTTTTTTTTACATATTATAAAGAGAAAACAATCTATAATAATAATATTATAAACAATGGAAAATAAAATTTATGATTTCAAATCTTTAATTAACTAGAAAATTTTTGAGCATTAAACATTTGAAAATTGACAATTTTCTTATAAAATGCTTAAATTTTAAATATACAATTAATTATGTGATATCGATTTTATTCAATGAAATGAATGTTCTCACGTAAAAATTTGTAACACAATATTAATTGATTTTTTTTTTAGAACTTAAAAAAGAAAAGCTGCATTGAAAAATACAAACCAGGATAAGAAAGGAAAATTTGTCACAGGACTTAAGTAAGTTTTATATATTGTTTAACTCATTTATAAAAAATGATATATTAAATAAATTTTTTAGTAGAATATGCTGCTAAGAAATATAAATCACACAGAAAAATTCCTAAAAATGTATTAAAAGAATTAAATAAAACAAATTAAATAATTATTTTTTTAATTTTAAAAGTTTTTTTTTGCTTTATAAATTAAACTATAATTACAAAATCAATAATTTTGATATTAAATTACATGTAATTTTAATAACGTACTTGTTTTAATTGGATAAAGATTCCATGATATATTTATGATTGACAAAAAAAAATTTGGACTGTTTGACTTTTAGATGATCTGCACCATAGTTATTAAAAAGAAACAAAATAAAAAATCACATAATTGATTATCACAAAAACAACAGAGACAGTGGAATGTTAGAAAAAAACTTATGGTAGTAAACTTTTTGAAAATAATAGAAGAAATATTTATAGAATAGCAAAAAAAATTTAATATTGAACTAAAACAAGTCTATAATTAGGTTAAAAAAAAGGAAAAAATGTTAGAAACAGTGACTCATATAGCAAAAATCCATCCAGGAAAACTTCTTAAATATCTAGATTTAAAAGATAATTTATTTTTATGAATTACTGAAAAAGAGCTAATAAAAATACTATAACCCAAAAATTAATTACTTATAAAGCTATTACTTTATCTAAAAATCAGAAATTTATGTTAAATAATCCAAGTATTATTAGATTTAAATTTTCAAGCATATGGCTTGATGGTTTTTTAGAAAGGTATGATTTAAGTAAATGTCATAAAATAATAGTAGCACAATATTTGCTATTTAAACTAATTAAACTTTAATCCTTTTTGAGTTATATATTATATATGAAAATGCAATATAAATATTTATTGAAGTACATAGAAAATATGGATGAAATATTAATGTGATTTAATTCACCTAGTAATATTATAATCAATAAAAGAAAGAGAAAACTGTATTAATTTGTAAATGGAGTATAAATAAATTTCTTTTACAATTATACTTAGATGTATAGTAGATGGTACAAAACTTTCTGCTGTATGTATTTTTAAACTAAAAAAAAATCTCAAAAGAAAAATTTTCAGATAACATTCATATACACGTAAATGAAAAGAAATAGGTAAATGAAAATAAAATGTTATAGTAGATTGAAAGAGTGTGAACTTCACAAAATTTATTTGAAAATTTACATTCTCTTTTAGTTTTTAATACCTTTCGTGATCATACTATAGATCAGTGATATTCATTTTTGATGTCTTAGAGATTTGTTGTTCTAGCTATATGTTCTAGTTATATGTCTTAACCTGTCCCATACTATATCTCTAATATCTTATTTATCCTATCTATATCCCATCAGTATCTCATCAATGTCCCATCAATGTCCTATAACAACACTGCTGTAAATAATATAAAGAATTGATTAGTTAAAAAAATACTAATATTGCCATAATTCTTAGTAGTTGTACTTCAAAATTACAACCATTAGATGTTTCAATTAATAAAAGTTTTAAGTCAAAGGTAAATTAAATTTTTATTTATAATTTAATTTTATATATTTATTATAATATTTTAATTTATATTAATTATACAATTTAGGTAAAAGAAAAATATAATGAATAGATAGTCTCTAATGATCATATATTTACTGCTACAAATAAAATAAAATGACCTTCTTATTTAACTATTGTAACTT